AAAGGTACCCCTGCCCGTACGGGCCAGTCTTGACAGACTCTAGGGTTGTGCGCCCATCTCACTCAAGAGGCCGGGGCCAGCGCTGTCCGGAGACACTTCCGGGTCACGTGGCCAGCGTGACAAAGCTGCATCTGGCGAGCCAGCGCAGCACACGGAAACGCCGTTTACCTTCCCGCTGGTAAGCGGTCCCTATTTATCTACTTGCACCCAGGGGTGCTTTCGAACTGCTAGGTTGGCAGGCGCTGGGACGGAGCAACAGGAGCGCACCCCGCCGCGGGGATTCGAACCGCTGACCATGCGATCGGCAAGTCCTAGGCACTGAGGTTTTACCCACAGCGCCACCCGCATCCCTATCTCATATATTAGTTTCACCTTTTAAGTTGAATTACTGAAATAAATGAACTTTCCCACAATATTCTAATTTTCCAAGTTTCACCTGTATATAGAGGCTGCCCCTCAACTCTGTAATGCACTGGGGACTGCCAAACACCTAACTACATTTGGAAGGAATATTTTTTCAGCAGCAGCATCCCATTATGCTTTTGAGCATGTTCAGATGGCAGGTCAAAACAGTTCTATTAGATCATGTGTTTTACAGTATAGTATTATTTATTTTTTAAAAAAAATCATTCCTGCCACTTCACTGGGTGTTTCATTGCACTAACTGTTGCTGAACTATTCTTTAATCCAATCATTTGCTTTATTGCTTTAATGTTTTTTTATTCTGCCAGTAGGCTGACCCGGCGTTGTGCCGATTATACCTCTCCTTCAATTAAAACATACTGAGGTATTTGCTAACTGTAAAAATCAACTGAACCTCTTCCAATAACAATTTGAAAGCAAAAAAAAAAAAATTTAAAATGGGTATGCACAGGATCTGGCCTTTTAAAATAGATTTATAGAAATATGCTCTTACACTGTTGTATAATACAGAAGACTTAATAGGTCAACTTAAACAAATATTACAGTTGGACTGAGTGCTGAATTTCATCTCTTGAGTTGAACTAACCACCTAGTGATTTGGCAGTATTAGTTTAAGAACTACAATAAGGGCTAACATGAAAAGTAACTCACATTATATTGATGATTAGCCACAGGTTTGTAGTTAGTGGTTACAGCTTTGTCCAGCTGCATAGTCCAGCTTACAGGTTTAGAAGACTCTTCAATCTGAAGCCTAAAAGAAAGAGAAAAGAAATTAAAAACCAGTAAAAACAACATATGCTCATAATAGTTTGGTTGTATTAGATATCCTGTCACAGGTGCCAACTTGAATAAAATAGGGGGTGGGGCAGGTAAGCCCTACCCTGAATAACTGATCACATGATGTGGTGCATGCATACCATTTGAATGGCAATGCCCAATTCAATTGGTCCCCTCAAATATTTTAATGGGGGACAAAGAATCCTCAGCCCCTAGGTGTTGGCTCTGTACAGTTCTTATCAACCCCACCTAAAAAGGATATAGTACAGATCGACAAGCAAAATGAATGCAAACTTCTAGTGTCAAATTCCCTAGAATTTTAATTTTTTTAAAAAAATCAAGAAATGATTTTAAAGAAACAATTACAAATCAAGGTGTAAATAACTTTCTTGCAAGCCTGAGCTCATCCTGAGCTTAAGCCTGCCTGATAGCCACCCTTCTAGATTCAGATAGGTAGCCGTGTTGGTCTGACGCAGTCGAAATATATATAAAAATTGCCCAGTAGCACCTTAGAGACCAACTAAGTTTGTTCTTGGTATACAGCTTTTGTGTGCATCCACACTTCTTCAGATACCTGTGGTGGCACATACGTAGCTAGGAGCACTGATGGCATACGGTTTCAGATCAGAGTCCATATATCCAGAAACACCTACTGTGATAGTGCCAATACGTGAGATGATGGGGGGTGTCCTGGATTTCCTGGTTTGTGTATTTTGGGTAGAAGATAGAAGGTTCCTGGTCGAGGTTCTGTTGGTGTGTTTGAGAGGATTTGTTCTTGGATGTGGGGAGGGTAGCTCTTTAACTATCTTGTTCAGTTCTTTTTTGCATTCCTGTGTGGGGTCTAAGCCCAGTTTTTTATAAAAGGCCCTACTGGAGAGTTGTCTGTGAACCTCCTGGATGTAATCAGTTTTGTTCATGATGACAACAGCTCCACCCTGAAGAAGTGTGCATCTGAAGAAGTGTGCAAACTTAGTGGTCTCTAAGGTGCTACTAGACAATTTTTAATTTTTTATATATATATTTTGATATTCACCCTTCAATTGTTGGCTCCTCTGTGATTCCCCCTTTCTTCTGTTTCTTACACATGCCCATCTTAAATCTCAGCTCATCTGCCAGATCCTTATCCAGCCACACCGGTTTCTTTAGACGCCTCTCACTTTCCTTTCTTGTTGGAACTGTCTGCCTTTGGGCCTTCAATATTTCACCTTTAAAAAAACTCCCATCCATCCTGGGCAGCGCCTGGAATGCAGAGGAATGAGCTCTATCAGCCCTAGCCCTGCAAGGTCATTCTTCTGCGAACCAGATACTGTCAGTGAAGGGAGTCCCTCTGCCACCAGCACCCGGTGCACCGAGGGAAAAATGTGTTCCATCAGCTCTGGTGCCACACAATCATAACTTCCTTTGTTTGAGGACCAGAGCACAATGGCACCTTAGGAGTGGCAGTGGTTTCACACATGGTATACCACCAAGTGAAGGTGCCATCGTGCTCTGGCCCTCAAACCGGTCCAGGACGATGTATCGCTACATCACCCAGGCCTACTAGTGTAGTGTTGAATCCAGGCCTAAGATAAAAAGTGCTGCTACCGAGTCTGAAAACAGGTCGAGGTAAATATATTTCTGACAGTTATGGTAAGTTAGTTCTCGAAACTCGCCGGGAGAGGGACATTTGTGTACCCCTCTCGTATAATGTTCATAGGTATTGAACATTATATAAAGAAGCTTGTGTGCTAGCTGAGAATCAAGGTCAGAAGCATAGAAGCAATTTCCCTTTTTTTTGTATCACACGTTGGCCCTAATGAACTTTGGCTAAGAGCAGATCACTCAAAGTCTATTCAGTATAGGAAACTGTCGTTCCACCAGGAAATTTTAGAGAATTATTATTTCTAAAAGCACAATGTCTCCAAAAGCATGCTGTTACCACATTATGTTCCTTACACCTACGAGTGGAGTTTTTCTTCTAGGCTAGCATCTCATGCACATTCCAGATTGAACAGTGAGTCATGAAACTCTTGTTATTTTCCTGACTTTTATTATAATGACAATATGCATCCAACAAGCATGACTGATTTCTCCATATGATACATAAGATAGAATGGAATCAAACAGGGATAGCTATATAAAGATGCGGTTATGTGAAAGGTTCATTTAGTTCTACATTGGGGAAGTTTCTGAGACTGCTTAATGTTGTACCTGGGGTTATTAACAACCTAAATTTCTCAAGCAAGAGGATTAAGCATCAGTAGTAGATTATGCAAACAAAAAACAAAACAAACAAAACAGGAACAGCAGCTAAAGAATAAAATGTCCAAGGTTCAAATTTCATGTCAACCAGAAACCCTCAGCTTCATCCACCAACCATCCCAATCTGTAATATGCCTGCTATAAGAATTTTCTGTTTTTAGGTTTTTCTATTTTATCTGTGCTTTTGTAGTATTATCTGTAAGTTGCCTTGAGTCCCACTCTGGGGAAAAGGCGGAATATAAATATATATAATAAATGTTTTGGATGCTTAAAAACTCTATATACATAATTGCTAGGTGTGATTATTCAATAAATAATACAATGAGCTTTTGCAGTACAAAAAGAAAACCGTGATATCTTTGTAACTCTCTGATCTTAGCCATCTGGATCCCTATTTGACTGGGTACTCAAGTACAGTGGTACCTCAGGTTACATACGCTTCAGGTTAAATGCGCTTCAGGTTACAGACTCCGCTAACCCAGAAATAGTGCTTCAGGCTAAGAACTTTGCTTCAGGATGAGAACAGAAATCACGTGGCGGCGGCGGCAGGAGACCCCATTAGCTAAAGTGGTGCTTCAGGTTAAGAACAGTTTCAGGTTAAGAACGGACCTCCGGAACGAATTAAGTACTTAACCCGAGGTAGCACTGTACTTGGACATAAGCATATGAACAATCTGAAGAGCTGAGTTGGAATATAGCGACTGCTGCAGTCAGGTATGCAACTTAACCCCCTCATCCTCATCATACTGAACAGAAACATGAAAAAGAGCAAAGAGGGGATGGAAGAGCAAAATGCACAAGTTATCATCCAAGCAGGAAAAAAGGAAAACAAAGGAGGAGGGAAATAAAGGCATGATTGTAATTGCTGTCAGGGTTATCACCAACCACTCCAAGAAGGTGCAACATCCATCACAGGATGGCGCTGCCATAAGGGTTGGGAGGACCCCCTCTCCTTGGCCTGGCACAAACCAGGCTTGGAATGTCCCATGAGCCTCCACCCTCCAGTGCTGCTCCTAGCATCCTCCCTGTCCCCTTGGCGACAGAGTTGAAGGGGAGGAAAGCCCTGCGAGTGCTGAGTGGGCCCTCCCCCTTTCGCAGCCTCTGCCATGTCCCTTGTTGGGATGGTGGCCGCGAGGGAAGCCCAGTTCTGCCGCCTTCCCCACCCCAGCCCAATCATCTGCAGACCACTTTGCCTTGCATAGCCTCATCGATACCCAGCAGGCTTGCTGCCAAGGGGCAAGGCGAGCCCCCAGGCACACAAGCAGCCCTCTCTGCCTCTCTCTCCTTCTCTTTTCTCCATCTTCTTCCTCTTCCCCCTCCATCACCACAGCCGCCTCCACCTCCCCTCTTGCCGGAAATGCCCATGGCACCTTTTTCTTCTAGAAAAAAAAAGCACTGACCTTGAGTATGCATACAAACTCAATGAGAGGTGTGAGCCTGATTTTGCCATGTAATCTCATTTATAATTATCTAATTTGAGACAAATTCCCATCTCCTCATCAACACAGAGAAGCCTTTCTCTTTTCTGATCTTTCATATTTGTCAGAGTTGAAGATCCTTGTTCACAACAATATATCATGAAGAACTGTAGAAGAATAGCCAATGCTCTTGGAGAGAGATTGTTTCTGGTTGTATAGCCAAAAAAATTTATTCTGATACTATGCCATAGTGAAATGTTTAACTGTTTCTTCAATTCTCCATGAACCTTCCCACCACACTTGCCATCCTCTCCTGCCACACCAATGTGGTGTACCCACTGGTATAGAAATGTGAGGTCTTTAGCTCAGGAGGTCCAGGAGTTGGAGAAGCTTCAAAATTTCTTTCTTAAGAAAGTATTTCCTTTACCTGTTGGTACCAGTGCAGCATATGGCAGTGCAGAAGTGGGCTGGAACAGGCTAGAATACAAGTTCGACTCTTAAATTTCTAGAGCAGAATGTAAACTCTCCCATTTTCATGTCTGCTTTCTATAGCTTATGGCGCACTCTCAAAAGTCAATTGCTGCTTTGCCTACACTTGCTAGAGAACTTGAGAGTGAGCTGACTAAGATCCAGTCACAGTCTAAATTGCAGTTATGGTTTTCTTGTGTATGAGAAAGCTTCTTTGATATGCCATTTATCCATTCTTTTGAAATTTTCTAGCTGCATCCACATATTAAGACAGTTAATCAGAAAGCTAACTGTTTGGAGGCAGTTACCTTAGCTTCACAGAGAATTGCTTTTACAGAATTAAAACTCAGTGTTATGCCTTGTGCCTTTCTGGATAGATGCTACAAGAAATTACCTTTGGAACAACATTTCTATGTGTTCTGCAAGGCAGCTATAAAGGACATACTAGGTAGTTCACTGTATTGTTCACCAACGTCCTCTCTATAAAGATCCTCATGGAATTTCTCAATCTTTGTTTAGCCTCAGGAAGAATTTTGGTACACTAAGTGAATTTGGGTACATTTTGCTATTAGGCAAGGAAGATGGTGTTACATTGTCTGCTTCCTTATTTATGTTAGCAGCCAAGGACTTAGGAACCAAATTGGTGTTCAACTCTGAATGTCTATGTTTGTTATGCCTTAAAAGGTAAAGGTAAAGGTAAAGGGACTCCTGACCATTAGGTCCAGTCGTAGCTGACTCTGGGCTTGCGGCATTCATCTCGCTTTATTGGCGGAGGGAGCTGGCATACAGCTTCCGGGTCATGTGGCCAGCATGACTAAGCCGCTTCTGGCGAACCAGAGCAGCTCAC